AAAGCAATAAAAGATTTAATCAACAAAACAGGATAATAGCAAAGTAAATAAAGAGCTATGCATTGTTATATATGCTAGAGGGATAGTTACATATCATATAATTGTCCTAATAAACCTTAGAAGAATTGAACAAAAGGTTAACAAAATAAGGAAAAGGGATCTGACAAAGAAAATAAGAGACAGAAGAGATCTGATATATGTCTTATAGACTTTATAAATAAAATAATGAATAATATTTAATAGTTAAATTAATAAGTAGTAAAGAAGAAGTAGAGATATTAGAAATTTAGAAAAAAAGAAACAAGATGAGTTGAGTATTGAAAGATCTAATAAAAGAAGTAGAGCAAAGAAAATACTAGAAGTAAAGAAGGTTGAAATATTGTTAACACTAAATCAAAATAATAATAACAGAAACTCTGTAATATATATACTGTTAATAAACCTAAGTAAAAATCTAGATATCTTAAAAACTATAGCTGATTTCAAGCTTACTATTTTATTTGAATAATTGTTTAAATGGTCACTGAAGGTGAGAGAAGAAATCATGAAAGCTTTAGCTTAGAAGAGAAAGAATGTAAATATAACAGATATGGATGTTAAAATAAGATTCATTAAAGGAATAAAATGAAAGAAAATACAAATAAAATAGTATCTATCTAGCTCATATTAATAAATAGCAAGATAGTAAATATGCCAATTGATTCTAGTTCTTGATTAAATCTAATATATATAAGTTATACACAGAAAAGAGAATTGATCTAGCAATGAGCATACAAAAAAAGAAGAATAGCTAACAATTAATTAAGTGAATTCACAAGTTATATACTTCAAGTAAAAGTTGAAATAGAAGGAGTGGTGATGAATCAAAGCTTCTACATAATAGAATCAGCAAGTTTTGAAGTACTATTTGGGATGCTATAGCTAGCTAATACTCAGTGTAGCATATATTAGAAAAAGAATAAATACTAGTGTACTATATCCTCTGTGAATAGGCAATCATTGTTTATATTTTAGCTATACTATAGAATTGAATTAAAAAAGATAAGGAAGAAAGTGAGTCAAATAATTATAATAACAAAGAGGAAGAGATTAATAGAGTAATTGCAGTATGAAGGTTTTAACTAATAAATAACAATACACCAACCTTAGAAGGTAGTATAAAACAATTAAAGTCTTAAAAGAAATGATATAAATCACAAGATCTATAATCATACAGTGCTATGGAATTAGTTTTGATTTCGAATTTAGTTATATTATAAAAGTTGATAATAGAAAATATAAACTTATTGAATTTTAAATCTAATCTTTTATCAGAAAAAAAAGAATATATAAAAGATCAATTGATAAATGAAGTTTCAAAAATATTCATATTTAATCTATTAGAATTAGGTCATATTAACCTTGTAGAATATGAAATAAGAACAGAAGATAAAAAAGTTCTCTATAAGAGATTAAGACCAATAAGAATTAACAACTCAGAGAAAGCAAATTTATTTGAAGAGCATTTGAAAAACATGATTAAGTATAGGTTGTTAAAAGAAAAAAATAGGCTATATGCATATTATTGCTTTCTAGTTGACAAAAAAGAAGATAGTACTGATCACATATATACAGTTAGAAATATGAAACTGTTAAATAAATATATAGTGAAAAACAGTTACTTACTACTAATTATTAGAGATATATTAGAACAAGTAGCAGGATATAAATAGTATTTGAGCATTGATGTATTTAAAGGTTATTGGCAAATCTGAATATGCAAAAAAAATAGGGATAAAGTAGCTATTTTAATAATAATAGAAGTATTATATTATATTGTAATATGTATAGATTTAAAGAATACTAGTAAAATATTCTAAAGACTAATAGATTTAGTTCTAAAAGAAGAAAAAAGAAAAAAATAGCTGCAGTATACCAAGACAATATAGGGTTGTGAACTAATAGAGATTTGAAAAATTATATGAATAAGTTTGTTGAATTAGCTAGCATATTTGAAAAGGCTAAGCTTACATTTGTTACTAAGAAATGTTTTATAATATTCAAGAAGTTAAATATATATAGATTTATAGTAAGCAAGAAAGAGATAAAAGTAGATACCAGAGGAATAAAAAAGATACAGCAATAGCTAAAGCTAAAGAATTGTAATAAAATAAAGTTATTCTATGAAACTATAGAGTATTATCATTGTTTTATAAAGAATTTTAGTAAAATCATGAAGCTATTGACAGAGTTAATAAAAAAGGATAGTAAATTTAATTAGAGAATTGAGCAGAAGCAATTCTTTGAAAATTTAAAAAGAATATTGTTAAAAAATATGGTGTTAAAAAGATCTGATTAAGAAAGAGTGAAAAGAAGAAAAAAATTATATCTGTTATATACAGATACATATGATATCTTGATCAGAGCAGTGTTAGAGCTAGCTAATAAATATAGGAATTTAAGACCTATAATATTCAATTTGAGAAAGTTAAATAAATATAAGATTAATTATATAGTAACAGAAAAGGAATGTTTAGCAATTGTGTTTGGTTGTAATATGAATGAGTAATATATTAGAGAACTGTTTTTAATATATAGATAAATTATTAAGTATTTGAGTGATTGTTTAATAAAGCAAACTTATAAAGAAAGTTGATGCATTAGGTTTTGGTATTACAAAACTTTGAATTTAAAGTGTATTATAAAAATAAGAAAAGATATGGAAATACTAATAGAATATCAAGATATCTAATAGATTATATAAAGGATAATAGTGAAAATGAGAATTTTGTTGAAGGGTTAATTATGTATATGAACAAGTTTGATAACAAGACTAAAAATTTGGTGTGAATAAAAGAGTATCTAGAATATTTCAAGTAGGCATATGATACAAAAACATCTGATTTACTAAAATTGCAAAGGAAATGAAATAATATTGTATAATAGATAGCTATTTCTATAAAAAGACAAAAAGAGATATATTATTAAAACATGTTATATTCAAGAATAATAAAAAGTATGAAATAATATTAGTGAATTATCAAGGAATAGCAGAAGAAAAAGAAAATTATGAAATTAATAGAATAGCAAGAAAAGTGTTGATAAACTATTATTGAATATCTAAAAATATGTATAATGATATTGAAAATATGTAAGATCATATATTAAATGCTAAAGATATATAACTAAGATAGTAAAAGAACTGATTTATATAATCACAACAAGTTGAATTTTTCATAAAATATATATAAACTGCTTAGGACTATTATCTAGAACTAGTGGAGACATAAGCATATTATATTAGCAGTAGAAGAGTTAACAGAATATGTAGAAGGTAAAGTACTAAGAAAGAAGAATACTATTACAATAGCATAATTTATATGAGATAAAATTGTTACAAAATATAGATGTTTTATAGTTTTAGTTTCAGATAGAGGTATAGAATTTAAAACAATATTTTAGCAGAGCTAGTAACTAAATTAAGTATTGATCAGAGATTTGTGATAAGTTATTACCCTAAAACAAATAGACAATACAAAAGTTTACTAGAATTATAAAAAAAGTATATGCAGAGAAACAGAATAAGTAGCATGAGTATATTAGGAGTATGATTTAGACAATTAATATTATAGTAAACAATTTAAAATATTCACTGTTCAGGTTAGTTTATAGAAGAGATGTGATAACTCTAATTCAATTAATATTAGAAAGTTATTAAGCATATATAGCTTGAAAGAAATAAATGACAGATGAGCTATTAGAGTATCATACTAAATAAATAAAGGGAATAGTAGAGAAACTGAAAAATATACAGATAGAAAAAGACAAATTAAAGCAAAGGTGAAAAGAGATATATTACAGAAGGGCAAAAGAAAAAGAAACTTATTGAATAGGGGATTTAGTTTTGAAATATAATTCTATACTAGAAACTATATTACGAAAATTAGATTATCGATAGATGGAGCCTTATAAAGTCCAAAACATAGGAAAGTATAGACAAGTATATCTAGATGAATTAGATAAAAGTAAGCTAAAAGATTCAGTAACAAGAAATAGGATAGAGAAATTATATATCTGAGATGATCAACTTTTAAACAAAGAAAATCAATTGAGTCAAAATAATATAGTTCTCAAGAGTGAAGACCAATAGAGGTCTAGTTTAAATTATGTAGTAAATAGTAAGCCTTTATACTTAGTATAGAGAATACTTATTGATATATTAAATAATGAATAATGAATGAAAAAGAAGATCAGGAATATAATATGAATACATCATATGATAATTTGATTGATTAGAATAATTATTAGAAGTATAAGATTAAATAGTATTATCAGAGTTAGTAAATAGCTAATATTATTGTTGATAATTAAGGCAATAGAGTTAATTAAATTAATTAAATAAAATTGATTATGAACAGAGAGTAAAGCAATATTAAGTATTATACAAAATATGTAATTAAAATTTTAGTATAAAAGAGAAAATATAAATAACAAATAAAAGTATTAGTCTTTAGACTCATAATAAAAAATAAAGAAATGTAAATAAGAATAAAACATATTATTAAAAAAGTATAAAGTATTTTCTAATACCAAGTGAGTTAATAGATTGAAGAAAACATTTGAGTTAGATTGCAGAAATAGATGAAACTATATAACCTCTAACAATTAGTATTAAAATTATCATAGTAACTAGAAATTGGTATAGAATTATAAAGAAAATAATTATAGAAGAAAGCAAAAAAATACTAGATTATGCTCTTAAAGAGCTAGAACAAGAACTCATAATAGCAGAAGAAGCCAAAAGAAGTATAGTATAGTTAACAAAGCAAACCTAAAGAACATATACAGTAAACAAGAAGAAGATATAAACTCAACACAAGAGCTTAAAGTAGAGACAATAAGTATTAATATAGAAGGAGCTATACCTTCTAGAGCAAAATATTTAGAGAGTAATACAGAGTAAGTAATTACTCAAGAAGTTGAGTATCTAAAAAAAAAGCTCATAAATAGCAACAAAACAGCAGTTAAAATTCTGTTTATGAATAAGAAATTAGTAGATATTCAAAAGGTATCAAGAAAACAAGAACATAGTAGTTTTAAAAACTTAATAGTAGTAAGACTAGAGAACAATATAACTAGTATAATAGTTACAAAAAATAAGTTAGTAGACCTAGTACAAAAAACTGAAGATCTAATACTAAAGAATATAGAAAATACTCCACTTAAGATTTTACAAATAGAATTAATGACTTAAAAGAATATTAAAAAAAAGCAAATAAAGCATATAGCTACAAATTATAAAGAACCATATAGAACCTCTCTTGAGAATAGCATATAGATACCTAATAAAAACTCTTATGAAAGAATAGGAGATTATAAAGCAAAAATTGTTTCTATCTTATTACCTGATAAAACAAAAGAAGAACATATTAAGTTTATAAGAGGAATACTATACAAAAGCAATCATATAAGTGAAATTATAAAGTGTTTTAAAAATAGAAATAGCTAAGTAGTTATCAAATTTGACTACCTCAAAGATATAAAAATTCTAAGAGAGAAACTTAGAAAGAAGGAGATCAAATAGTATAAAGTACTTTTTGATGAGTATATAACTCAAAAAGAAAATAATTATATCTTTAACAATGTAGCTAGTAATAAGTCAACTAAGCTTAAAAAAAAAGATTCTATTCAAAAATCTAAATATAACTCGAACTTAGATGAAAGAAAAAGAAGCTAATTAAAAAAGATATTCAGAACAGAAAGAAAAGGTTTTTTGAAATTAAATACTATAACAATTTGAGATCTTCCAAACTGAACAAAAAGAGTATATATATTTGAATCAGTACAGTATCTAGAAAGAGTTAATTATATACAAATCATTAAAGAATTATGCAGAAGAACATATACTAAAATTGATTTTGTTCTAAGTATTAGCTATATATAAGATCTAGAAGATATTTGGTGTATCCCACTTCTAAATAGCTGCTTAGTTAGAATTACTCTAGAAAGAAATAATATAGAGATACTCAAATCATAAAGCAAATATTCTAGAAAAATTTTTAATTTATTAAAGAATTCAAATGAGATACTCTTGTGAAGACAAGTAAGATATACAAAAGCCAAAGCTTTACATATTTTCAAGAATACTAATAGCAACAACAAGAGAAGTGCAACAGTTTTCTTTTCAAGTAAAGCAAATTGCTCAAACAGCTTAAAATTTATAGTTTATTATTATAATAACAAATTTAAGTAGACTACAATAAGAGCTAATAAGATCTAGTAATCTTAGTGTAGTAGTTAGATTACTAGATCGTCATACAAGAGGTCTGAGATTCAAATCCTACTGTCAACAAATTTGAATAATTATCTAGACTTTTGTACTTAACTTACAGTAAACCCTATTCATTTTTAGAGTTGTAATCCTGTAAATCATATTGCACTAATATTATTCAGATATTAGAAGTATAACAAGATGTTTAGAGAGATATAATATTATACAAATAAATCTTAATAGGATCTAAGAGCAGAGGACCTATATAGTAGAAATCCTGAGTTAGTGAAATAGTATAGCTTTTGACAGTTATACTAGCTAATACTTAATTTAGAAAAGAAACTGTCACTTTGAAAATATAAATCAAGTGAAGTATGAATAAGTCTGTTTTACAAGGAGAATTAGCAACACAAACTTGACTTGATAGCTAACTGAATTAGGAGGATCTATTTTGTAAAATATTCAAAGAGATTAGCAAACAGAAAACTAGTAGAGAGCTATAGTAGGAATTAGAATTATACAAATATCAATAAGAATCTAAACTAGATAAATTTATAAAATAAGTATAGACCACTCTTGTAGGTTTGCTTTGAAATTAACTAGAGCTCTGCATACTCATAATATATTGAGTAATAAGTATCCTAAGAGAACCTAAGCTGAAGTCAGTAAATAGATCTGTAACAAGCTAGCTAGTTTAAGTAGTTAGATATTATAGTGATGTTAGTTTGTAACAGTATAAGTTAGTTGAACAAAATGTTTAAATAGGTAACTCACAGATAGTTACAGATATAGCAGCATAGTGTAGAACTAATTAGGTAGTCTATTATCTGTGTAGCAAACTACTTAAATTAGACAATGACTAAAATTATACATATAACTTGTTATATACTCTTTATGTAATTACAAACTATAAGAAGACTCCATGTAGAATCTCATATATCAAACTAATAAAATTTACTTAGCAATGTAAGCTACCTTTAAAAATTTATTATAAATATTAAATAAATAAAATAAAATTTGTATACTTCTTGTTGTTTTTTTTTTTTAATTTTTAAGGTGGTTTACATTACTGGGTAATTTTTATTAGTTTGATATATAAGATTATACATAGGCAATCCTTATAGTTTGTAATTACATAAAGAGTGTACAACAAGCTACTTATACAACTGTTGTCATTGTCTAATTTAAGTAGTTTGCTGCACAGACAATAGACTACCTGATTAGTTCTATACTATGCTACCATACCTATAACCTACTTGTGAGTTACTTATTTAAACACTCTGTTCAACTAACCTATATCATTATAAACTAATATCACTATAACACCTAACCATCTAAGCTAGCTAGCTCATTATAGATCTATTTTTGATTCCAGCTTAGATCCTCTCAAGATACTTATTGCTCAACATATTGTAAACTCATAAAGCTTCAGTTAACTTCAAAGCAAATCTACTAGAGTGGTCTGTACTCATTTCACGAATTCATCTAGCTTAAACCCTTGTAAGTATTTATATAACTCTAGTTCCTTCTGTAGCTCTCTACTAGTTTTCTGTTTCTGATTTCTTCATAAATTTTACAAAGTAGATCTTCTCAATCTAGTTAGCTACTAAGCCAAGTTGGTATTGCTAATTTTCCTTGTGGAATAGACTTACTCGCACCTTTCTTGATCTATATTTTCAAAGCACAGTTTTTTTTCTGAATTAAGTATTAGCTAGTATGACTATTAAAAGCTATACTACTTTATTTACTTAGGATTTTTACTATACAGGTCCTCTGCTCGTAGATTCTATTAAGATTTATTTGTGTAATATTATATTTCTCTAAATACTTTGTCACACTTCTAATATTCAAATAATATTAGTGCAATGTAATTTACAGGATTACAACTCCAAAAATGAATAGAGTTTACTATAAGTTAGATACAAAAGTTCAGGTAATTATTCAAATTTGTTGACAGTGGAATTTGAACTCCAGACCTCTTGCATAGCAGTCTGGTTACCTAACTACTACACTAAAATCACCAAATAATACTTCTTGTTATAATGAATAAAGTAGTTGAATACTTTTAGCAAAATCTTATAAAATATAATTTTTAATATTAATACTATTAGCAATATTAGGTTATAAAAATTAAATAGTATTAGATATAGTAAATTTAAAATTTATAATACAATTTCTAAAAATTAAAAATTATTTAAAAAATAAAATTAATATAATTAAATAATATAAATATAATATTTTAATATACTGTTATAGAATAGATTTTAGTATAATTTATATTATATTTTTATTAGTTATATTTATTAGTATTTTAGTATTATTTTT